CACACTCCTTGCCCACTGTGGCAGCTTCTCCACCACACTCCTTGCCCACTGTGGCAGCTTCACCACCACACTCCTTGCCCACTGTGGCAGCTTCTCCACCACATGGCTCTCTTCCGCTTTAACACAAGGGTCCCGCCCTCTCACTCCAACAATGGCCTCACACAATTACTGCCTATATTGTGATCCATTTCCTAGCGACTGTGCCCCACAGATGGCCACGTTATGCATGCAATATTCAAATGGCTTTACGTAAACATATAAATATAAGCTTCACAGGTTTGTGTAGCAGGTGAGACAAAGTGTTGAATGGAGATTCCTTGCACTTTGTTTATTAAAGTGCCTTCGTGTCTTCATGGGCTTCAGAGCCCTCTCCTCTTCCCTCACTCACCCTAAGACCTCAGAGACGTCGAGGAGTCACAATAACGTGGCTGAAGAATGTTGACCAGACCACACACTAGAAGGTGAAGGGACGACGACGTTTCAGTCCGTCCTGGACCATTCTCAAGTCGATTCAACTTGAGAATGGTCCAGGACGGACCGAAACGTCGTCGTCCCTTCACCTTAGAGTCGCCTCCCTTCTTCATCCTTGCCTCACCCTAAGGTCCCAGAGCCCCTCCTCAGATGTATTCATCAATACTGCTGAACTTTCGACCTCCGAGATGAACTCCCTCCCTCAGGTCGCAGCAAGACGAGCACCTTGCTCTAAATTGGATGTTCTGATAATTTAAGTCTTAAACAACACGAAGTCTAAACGTTGTAGGTTCCCAGCGTCTGGAACAGGAAGAATACAAGTCATATCGTATCTTGAGGTGATCTTGAGATGATTTCGGGGCTTTAGTGTCCCCGCGGCCCGGTCCTCGACCAGGCCTCCACCCCCCCCCCCCAAGGAAGCAGCCCGTGACAGCTGACTAACACCCAGATACCTATTTTACTGCTAGGTAACAGGGGCACAGGGTGAAAGAAACTCTGCCCATTGTTTCTCGCCGGCGCCCGGGACCACAAGATCACAAGTCCAGCGTGCTGTCCGCTCGGCCGACCGGCTCCCTACACAAGATTGCACGGCCGACCGTACACAAGATTGTTCCATAACGGATTTTAAAACCTAACCGTACCCAACCTAACCTAACCTAATCCTAACTAACCTAACTTAAACCAACCTAAGCCACCTTAACCTAGCTCAAAGCAACCCTAACCTAACCTAGCAATACATATGGTTCAACAATCAGAAAATAGGCTTTGTCGAATCTTCGTATTTACTATTCAGCCATTACCTCCCCCTCCCCCACCTTGTGCGCCTGACAGCTGGGTGGACAGCGCTTCGGATTCGTAGTGCTGAGGTTCCGGGTTCGATTCCCGGTGGAGGCGGAGACAAATGAGCAAAATCTTTCTTTCACCCCTGATGCCCTGTTATCTAGCAGCAAATAGGTACCTGGGAGTTAGACAGCTGCTACGGGCTGCTTCCTGGGGATGTGTAACAAAAAGGTGGCCTGGTCGAGGACCGGGCCGCGGGGACGCTAAGCCTCGAAATCATCTCAAGATAACCCCCATTCCCAGGAACCCCGTTATGGCTTTTGAGATCACTTCAAGCCAGTAACTAACCTTCCCCAGCATGCTACCCACAACAGTCACCTAACTCTAAAGTTTCTGCTGTAATTGCTAGGTGAACAGAGGCATGAGGTGTAAGGAAAAGTAACAAAACGTCTGGTACTGTCCAGGATTCAGCCTCTGGACCAATAGGATGCGAGATAAAGTAGCTTGTGTTTAATAGTGAATCAGTGAGAGGTTACTGTATCAATACATTTCTGTATTGATTACTCTGTCAATGTCGCCCGGGGTCAGGGGTCAGATTCACAAAGCAGTTACGCAAGCACTTACGAACCTGTACACCTTTTCTCAATCTTTGACGGCTTTGTTTACAGTTATTAAACAGTTAATGAGCTCCGAAGCACCAGGAGGCTGTTTATAACAATAACAACAGTTGATTGGGAAGTTTTCATGCTTGTAAACTGTTTAATAAATCTAACAAAAACCGTCAAAGATTGTGGAAAGATGTACACGTTCGTAAGTGCTTGCGTAACTGCTTCGTGAATCTGGCCCCTGGATATTAAGGCTGTCTTTTGAATAGCTTTTTATAGCCCTAAAATGATGCAAAATATTAAGGTAATTTTGTACACTTATTAAACAGCAATAAAATATGAAATAAATCACAATTTTTAAGCCCAGGAAACACGCAATGCAAGATATTAACATAAGAAATATACACAAGACGGAGACAGAACCTTACCTTGAGGTTACCTTGAGGTGCTTCCGGGGCTTAGCGTCCCCGCGGCCCGGTCGTCGACCAGGCCTCCTCAAAGAAGGCCTACTCAATTTAGCGAGATTGCCACAACGAAGGAGGCAAACAGCAGGGCCTCATCCCTGCCTCCATCTCTCCATCTTCTACCTGATCAACCAGGCTGTGATTCGTACGTCAAGCTGCGAGCAGTCGCGTCCAACAGCCTGGTTGATCAGTCCAGCGACCAGGAGGCCTGGTCGACGACCGGGCCGCGGGGACGCTAAGCCCCAGAAGCACCTCAAGGTAACCTTAAGGTAAGGTAACCTGAGGAACTCCTCCAGTCAGTGAGGGAGGCATGAAAGCCTGAGTGGTAAGCCCAGGGCCTACGCTCCAAGTCCCCGTGGGGTTAGGACGGAACCCATACCCGTCTACCCCGTGGGCTAGACGGGTTAGGACGGAGCCCATACCCGTCTACCCCGTGGGCTAGACGGGTATACAGAATGCCATGAGAAAGGGTTAATCTACCGGAGTAGTCGTACGGGGATCTCCGCCCCGGGGGACACCGTAGTCGTGACCTTTGGTGGCGTGTTAGGCCCGTCAAGGGTATCCCAACGGGGCCGTCAAGCCACAAACCGCAACTTTAGCCACCGGGCGCAACACTGCAAGGGTATGGGGTATTGTAGACCCTCTTATCAGCGTCCCTATTGCCCCTAGCAACCAGGCCGGCGGTGGCGCGGGCGGTGGCGGTGGGGCGGGCAGTGGCGCGGGCAGTGGCGCGGGCGGTGGCGGTGGGGCGGGCAGTGGCGCGGGCAGTGGCGCGGGCGGTGGCGGTGGGGCGGGCAGTGGCGCGGGCGGGTGGCGGGGCGGGCGGCGTGTTTTCTGCCTCCTATAATACGTCGCTTAATATAGATTCCTTCTTAACATTTACTGTCCAGTTTACCCCACTTCTCTGCGTCATGACAAACACAACTTTGCCTTTTAAACAGTTCATAATTATTAAAATAATCAGTGTTAGGCTAATCCAGAATTGTGGCGATTTCTGTAAGATTCTGTAAGGTGTTAACAATGCAGCCAGAGTCTGAGAATCTGCTACACTCCAAGGAATGCCCGTGAAACTCCTATTAGCACCTATGGCATCTCCAATAAACCAAATACAGAAAACTATCTATTAACTCAGAATCAATTAATAGTTAAGCAGTTTGAGTTGACTTTAAATAGTACAAGATGATTGGTACTATGTAAACACCAATCTTCCCCTAATCTCTGGATTCGATTTACAACCAGGGTTCGAATCTACAACAGCGTGTTAGAGCGAAGCATCACCGACTACACCAGCCCGTCCTCCAAACAAAGATCCAAAAGTGATTCCATCCACCCGCCAAACCCCCTGTTTATGAATGAAAAGCGGTTTACACACGACTCACAACTGATTTCGTTCGAACACTTCCGGAACAAGTGCTTCACTGACGAGTTTTGTTCGAACCACAACGCTATAAATTCTTCACCCACGTACTACAAATGCAAATAATCGCCAACCGAACCTAAACACCTAACCTAACCTAACCTATGCCTATATATGCACAATATGCTAATATATTATAATATTAATTTATATTTGAGAAAATTCTTGTTTTGAATGAACAGCAAGTTAAAATTTATGAATGCGTCTGTGGGGGCGACCGCTGGATGTAATGGACTTGAGTCGAGGACGGGTTGACTACACACAACTGCTACCCCTCTCGATGCCTGAAAATTATGCCCATAACATGTGTCATGTTTCTAGTTCGAAAACTTATAGAAAACTTGAGTTCGAAGTTCAACACTGTTGTAGACAGCTGTTGTGGGCTGCATCTTGGGAAAATTCAGTAGGTGACCTATGGGAACCTCGAGAAGGCAACGTGCAGGCTTCCTGTCCCCAACAACAGGAATTTGATCACCTTTCAGTACTGGGGTCATGTCGAGGTGGGTAAACTTTGCGTTTGGTGTATTTCTTCAGAGGGGGCACGTTGAACGTGCCAGACCTTACCTTTCTCGTTGAACGTGCCAGACCTTACCTCCCTTGTTGAATGTGCCAAACCTTACCTTTCTCGTTGAACGTGTCAGACCTTACCTCCCTCGTTGAACGTGTCAGCCCTTACCTCCCTTGTTGAATGTGCCAAACCTTACCTTTCTCGTTGAACGTGCCAGACCTTACCTCCCTCGTTGAACGTGTCAGCCCTTACCTCCCTCGTTGAACGTGTCAGATCTTACCTCCCTCCTTGAACGTGTCAGACCTTACCTCCCTCGTTGAACGTGCCAGACCTTACCTTTCTCGTTGAACGCTTCACGTCTGAAAATCAGACAACATTCACATGATGAAAGTTGTCTCGCAAAGAGATCTTACATTTATTCACATCAATGAGGCTTCCCATTAATGTCCTGAAGCCCTGTACCTCATAATATTAGATCAATTAGTTACATAAAAACGTAAAAATTATCAAATCCATCAATTCTGTATTACAGGGCTTCGTGAACTCAAGGAAGGGAACTATGAGGAGAAAGCGCCAAGCCATTACGACTATATAGCCCTTGGAAGGGGTCAGGATAAGGATATGGGATGGGACGAGGGAAAGGAATGGTGCCCAACCACTTGTGGACGGTCGGGGATTGAACACCGACCTGCATGAAGCTCTACCGTCCAGCCCAAGTGGTTGAGTCTTCTGTAGCGCAAATGGCTTAAGTCTGCATGTATGTGAAGGAGGAAGATACGGCAAGTATATATATATATATATATATATATATATATATATATATATATATATATATATATATATATATATATATATATATATATATATATATATATATATATATATATATATATATATATATATATATATATATATATATATATATATATATATATATATATATATATATATATATATAATAAAACCTAATGTATAATTCTGTTATCATTAAGCAAGCATTATTAATTAGTATGATACACAGGAAATACAGCACTTTTTACTGTTAAATACATGACTACAACTGTTAAATACTGTGAAATACAACTGTTAAATAATGACTACAGTCTCGTCTTGCTGACGAAGAGAGCAGCACCATCACTCATTTCTAGACTAAACTCACTTCAATTTGTCCTGTAACAACAACTTACCCCCCCCCCCCAAAAGGTCACCTCTTCAACAAGTGCAGTTGATCACATCTGAACTAATGTTATCAACAATACCTCCTGCTATCATCAGGAGGTATTGTTCCGTGTGACAGAACTCCTCCTGTCCTATACTGTTACTAAATCCAGCGTCAACACTCTCACTCTGAAGAATAACACTATATCATGTTTTACTCGAACAGTTGAAAATGAAGAATAGACGACGTTTCGGCCCGTCTTGGACCATTATCAAGACTTGTATTAGACTTGTTTTATTCTCTTGTTGTCAACGTGAACTAAGAAACAAGCGTAGCTTGTTCAGGCCTCAGTCAAGCCTTCGCCAGCTTCAACACAATCATCTGTAATTCGTACAATCATAGCTATTTCTTAGTTACTATGACTGATCAGAGCAACTAAACTAATCAAGGACAGATGTACAAGGACAGAGTTATTGATGTAACTTAATACTAATCGTGATTATTGATATTAACTGTGTCGATATTAACTGATATGGCTGTCTTCGGCACCATTCATTCAGCCTCAGTATTGTAGGAAAATACGTCTAGGAAAAAGTTTAGGAAAACGTAGTTAAGAAATGTATAATCTAGGTAAATAACTCTTATCAGTGACAACCAAAGGCTAAATATCATAACATATATTAATATTTTGACAGTACACTTCCCCCCCCCCCTGCCTCCAACGACCACTCCGCCTGCTAACAAGAGCTGCAGTGGTTCCATCGACCCAACTATCCTGGACTATCCACCTAATGACCAGACCACACACTAGAAGTTGAAGGGACGACGACGTTTCGGTCCGTCCTGGACCATTCTCAAGTCGATTGTGATTGAGAATGGTCCAGGACGGACCGAAACGTCGTCGTCCCTTCACCTTCTAGTGTGTGGTCTGGTCAACATACTTCAGCCACGTTATTGTGACTCATCGCCTGCATATCCAGCTGCCCACGAGACTGTACCCATTGTAACCTGTGAACACCACGCGGGCTGTGACGGATCTGTGGGTGTCTGCGAGCAACAACCTTACGGATCAAGGGCCAGATTCACGAAAGCACTTACGCAAGCACTTACGAACCTGAACATCTTTTCTCACTCTTTGGCGGCTTTGTTTCCAATTATTAAACAGTTAATGAGCTCCGAAGCACCAGGAGGCTGTTTATAACAATAACAACAGTTGATTGGCAAGTTTTCATGCTTGTAAACTGTTTAATAAATGTAACCAAAGCCATCAAAGATTGAGGAAAGATGTACACGTTCGTAAGTGCTTGCGTAAGTTCTTTCGTGAATCTGGCCCCAAGTTATCACAAGACAAGCCTGGCCCCCAGGACGGGCTTGAGGACGAACTCTGGAAACCCAGTCCAGGTACACTTCAGGTACATAACGCGGAGGTGGTTGGGGGTGAAGGGTGAACACACTCAGGTTATCTTGAGATTATCTTGAGATGATTTCGGGGCTTTAGTGTCCCCGCGGCCCGGTCCTCGACCAGGCCTCCACCCCCAGGAAGCAGCCCGTGACAGCTGACTAACACCCAGGTACCTATTTTACTGCTAGGTAACAGGGGCATAGGGTGAAAGAAACTCTGCCCATTGTTTCTCGCCGGCGCCTGGGATCGAACCCAGGACCACAGGATCACAAGTCCAGCGTGCTGTCCGCTCGGCCGACCGGCTCCCTAAACAGGTAAACAGAGTTATTTTAAATAATTGTTACCACTGCTTTCCTAGATTATATTTTTACACTTTACGATATCTGAGCCTCTCCTCTCCCCCGATACACCCCCCACCTGTCCCTGCCGCCCAACCCCCCTTCCCCCCTGATGGACACCCCATACCCCTAATACACATCCCCTACCCCTGGTGTCTTCTATCCCCGTCCCGTGATGAGTGGGAGGGGGAGGAGATCACAAGGTCACTACACAATGATGGGAAGATAGGTACCAGAAAATAGGAACAGAAGAGCATCTGGGAGGCAATACAACACGACCAATACAACTGGCAATACAACTCACTGTATTGCCAGGGAGGCAATACAACTTCACACACACACTCATACACACACACACACACACACACACACACACACACACACACACACACACACACACACACACACACACACACACACGGGAATTAAACAGGAGACCACACACGGGAGACTGCGGGAATTAAACCTCACGTCGCTGGGAGACAGAAGAGTTAGAGGGGACATGATCACCACATACAAGATTCTCAGAGGAATTGATAGGGTAGATAATGACAGGCTATTTACTGCCACAAGGGGCACACGCACTAGGGGACACAGGTGGAAATTGAGTGCCCAAATGAGCCATAGAGACGTTAGAAAGAATGTTTTCAGTGTCAGAATGGTAGACAAATGGAATGCATTAGGCAGTGATGTGGTGGAGGCTGACTTCATACACAGCTTCAAGTGTAGATATGATAGAGCCCAGTAGGCTCAGGAGCCTGTACAATTCTTGATTGACGGTTGAGAGGCGGGACCAAAGAGCCAGAGCTCAACCCTCACAAGCATAATTAGATAAGTACACACACACACACACACACACACACACACACACACACACACACACACACACACACACTGATACAAGCTCCACATTGGGCGTCCACAACCGCCACCCAACACTTTATGTTAGGAAATTACTCAACGTTTATTTCAATATATTTATCCGTCGTGATCACCTCTATTTACTGAGCAAACGTGGAACTCCTTCGAGGGGGACCTGTTGAGCCGACGCCTTCCCTCTCGTGCTGACTCAAGAGGCAGATGATGCCAGATTGTGGCATGATGCCCTCGATGTTCCCTTACTGTGGCATGATGCCCAGGATGTTCCCTTACTGAGGCATGATGCCCTCGATGTTCCCTTACTGTGGCATGATGCCCTGGATGTTCCCTTACTGGGGCATGATGCCCTGGATGTTCCCTTACTGGGGCATGATGCTCTGGATGTTCCCTTACTGGGGCATGATGCCCTCGATGTTCCCTTACTGGGGCATGATGCCCTCGATGTTCCCTTACTGGGGCATGATGCCCTCGATGTTCCCTTACTGAGGCATGATGCCCTCGATGTTCCCTTACTGGGGCATGATGCCCTCGAGGCTCCCTTACTGTGGCATGATGCCCTCGATGTTCCCTTACTGGGGCATGATGCCCTCGAGGCTCCCTTACTGAGGCATGCTGCCCTCGATGTTCCCTTACTGGGGCATGATGCCCTCGATGTTCCCTTACTGGGGCATGATGCCCTCGATGTTCCCTTACTGTGGCATGATGCCCTGGATGTTCCCTTACTGGGGCATGATGCCCTGGATGTTCCCTTACTGGGGCATGATGCCCTCGAGGCTCCCTTACTGGGGCATGATGCCCTGGATGTTCCCTTACTGTGGCATGATGCCCTGGATGTTCCCTTACTGGGGCATGATGCCCTGGATGTTCCCTTACTGGGGCATGATGCCCTCGAGGCTCCCTTACTGAGGCATGATGCCGTGGATGTTCCCTTACTGGGGCATGATGCCCTGGATGTTCCCTTACTGGGGCATGATGCCCTCGATGTTCCCTTACTGGGGCATGATGCCCTCGATGTTCCCTTACTGTGGCATGATGCCCTGGATGTTCCCTTACTGGGGCATGATGCCCTCGATGTTCCCTTACTGTAGCATGATGCCCTCGATGTTCCCTTACGAGGGCATGATGCCCTCGAGGCTCCCTTACTGAGGCATGATGCCTCGATGTTCCCTTACTGTAGCATGATGCCCTCGATGTTCCCTTACGAGGGCATGATGCCCTCGAGGCTCCCTTACTGAGGCATGATGCCCTCGATGTTCCCTTACTGTAGCATGATGCCCTCGATGTTCCCTTACGAGGGCATGATGCCCTCGAGGCTCCCTTACTGAGGCATGATGCCTCTATGTTCCCTTACTGGGGCATGATGCCCTGGATGTTCCCTTACTGTGGCATGATGCCCTGGATGTTCCCTTACTGGGGCATGATGCCCTCGATGTTCCCTTACTGGGGCATGATGCCCTCGATGTTCCATTACTGGGGCATGATGCCCTCGATGTTCCCTTACTGGGGCATGATGCCCTCGATGTTCCCTTACTGGGGCATGATGCCCTCGAGGCTCCCTTACTGAGGCATGATGCCCTCGATGTTCCCTTACTGTGGCATGATGCCCTCGATGTTCCCTTACTGGGGCATGATGCCCTCGAGGCTCCCTTACTGAGGCATGATGCCCTCGATGTTCCCTTACTGTGGCATGATGCCCTGGATGTTCCCTTACTGGGGCATGATGCCCTCGATGTTCCCTTACTGAGGCATGATGCCCTCGATGTTCCCTTACTGGGGCATGATGCCCTCGATGTTCCCTTACTGGGGCATGATGCCCTCGAGGCTCCCTTACTGGGGCATGATGCCCTCGATGTTCCCTTACTGGGGCATGATGCCCTGGATGTTCCCTTACTGTGGCATGATGCCCTGGATGTTCCCTTAATGGGGCATGATGCCCTCGATGTTCCCTTACTGAGGCATGATGCCCTCGATGTTCCCTTACTGGGGCATGATGCCCTCGATGTTCCCTTACTGGGGCATGATGCCCTCGAGGCTCCCTTACTGAGGCATGATGCCCTCGATGTTCCCTTACTGGGGCATGATGCCCTGGATGTTCCCTTACTGTGGCATGATGCCCTGGATGTTCCCTTACTGGGGCATGATGCCCTGGATGTTCCCTTACTGGGGCATGATGCCCTCGAGGCTCCCTTACTGAGGCATGATGCCCTCGATGTTCCCTTACTGGGGCATGATGCCCTGGATGTTCCCTTACTGTGGCATGATGCCCTCGATGTTCCCTTACTGGGGCATGATGCCCTGGATGTTCCCTTACTGGGGCATGATGCCCTCGAGGCTCCCTTACTGAGGCATGATGCCCTCGATGTTCCCTTACTGGGGCATGATGCCCTCGAGGCTCCCTTACTGGGGCATGATGCCCTGGATGTTCCCTTACTGGGGCATGATGCCCTCGATGTTCCCTTACTGTAGCATGATGCCCTCGATGTTCCCTTACGAGGGCATGATGCCCTCGAGGCTCCCTTACTGAGGCATGATGCCTCGATGTTCCCTTACTGTAGCATGATGCCCTCGATGTTCCCTTACGAGGGCATGATGCCCTCGAGGCTCCCTTACTGAGGCATGATGCCCTCGATGTTCCCTTACTGTAGCATGATGCCCTCGATGTTCCCTTACGAGGGCATGATGTCCTCGAGGCTCCCTTACTGAGGCATGATGCCTCTATGTTCCCTTACTGGGGCATGATGCCCTGGATGTTCCCTTACTGTGGCATGATGCCCTGGATGTTCCCTTACTGGGGCATGATGCCCTCGATGTTCCCTTACTGGGGCATGATGCCCTCGATGTTCCATTACTGGGGCATGATGCCCTCGATGTTCCCTTACTGGGGCATGATGCCCTCGATGTTCCCTTACTGGGGCATGATGCCCTCGAGGCTCCCTTACTGAGGCATGATGCCCTCGATGTTCCCTTACTGTGGCATGATGCCCTCGATGTTCCCTTACTGGGGCATGATGCCCTCGAGGCTCCCTTACTGAGGCATGATGCCCTCGATGTTCCCTTACTGTGGCATGATGCCCTGGATGTTCCCTTACTGGGGCATGATGCCCTCGATGTTCCCTTACTGAGGCATGATGCCCTCGATGTTCCCTTACTGGGGCATGATGCCCTCGATGTTCCCTTACTGGGGCATGATGCCCTCGAGGCTCCCTTACTGGGGCATGATGCCCTCGATGTTCCCTTACTGGGGCATGATGCCCTCGATGTTCCCTTACTGGGGCATGATGCCCTGGATGTTCCCTTACTGTGGCATGATGCCCTGGATGTTCCCTTACTGGGGCATGATGCCCTCGATGTTCCCTTACTGGGGCATGATGCCCTCGATGTTCCATTACTGGGGCATGATGCCCTCGATGTTCCCTTACTGGGGCATGATGCCCTGGATGTTCCCTTACTGTGGCATGATGCCCTGGATGTTCCCTTACTGGGGCATGATGCCCTGGATGTTCCCTTACTGGGGCATGATGCCCTCGAGGCTCCCTTACTGAGGCATGATGCCCTCGATGTTCCCTTACTGGGGCATGATGCCCTGGATGTTCCCTTACTGTGGCATGATGCCCTCGATGTTCCCTTACTGGGGCATGATGCCCTGGATGTTCCCTTACTGGGGCATGATGCCCTCGAGGCTCCCTTACTGAGGCATGATGCCCTCGATGTTCCCTTACTGGGGCATGATGCCCTCGAGGCTCCCTTACTGGGGCATGATGCCCTGGATGTTCCCTTACTGGGGCATGATGCCCTCGATGTTCCCTTACTGTAGCATGATGCCCTCGATGTTCCCTTACGAGGGCATGATGCCCTCGAGGCTCCCTTACTGAGGCATGATGCCTCGATGTTCCCTTACTGTAGCATGATGCCCTCGATGTTCCCTTACGAGGGCATGATGCCCTCGAGGCTCCCTTACTGAGGCATGATGCCCTCGATGTTCCCTTACTGTAGCATGATGCCCTCGATGTTCCCTTACGAGGGCATGATGCCCTCGAGGCTCCCTTACTGAGGCATGATGCCTCTATGTTCCCTTACTGGGGCATGATGCCCTGGATGTTCCCTTACTGTGGCATGATGCCCTGGATGTTCCCTTACTGGGGCATGATGCCCTCGATGTTCCCTTACTGGGGCATGATGCCCTCGATGTTCCATTACTGGGGCATGATGCCCTCGATGTTCCCTTACTGGGGCATGATGCCCTCGATGTTCCCTTACTGGGGCATGATGCCCTCGAGGCTCCCTTACTGAGGCATGATGCCCTCGATGTTCCCTTACTGTGGCATGATGCCCTCGATGTTCCCTTACTGGGGCATGATGCCCTCGAGGCTCCCTTACTGAGGCATGATGCCCTCGATGTTCCCTTACTGTGGCATGATGCCCTGGATGTTCCCTTACTGGGGCATGATGCCCTCGATGTTCCCTTACTGAGGCATGATGCCCTCGATGTTCCCTTACTGGGGCATGATGCCCTCGATGTTCCCTTACTGGGGCATGATGCCCTCGAGGCTCCCTTACTGGGGCATGATGCCCTCGATGTTCCCTTACTGGGGCATGATGCCCTGGATGTTCCCTTACTGTGGCATGATGCCCTGGATGTTCCCTTAATGGGGCATGATGCCCTCGATGTTCCCTTACTGAGGCATGATGCCCTCGATGTTCCCTTACTGGGGCATGATGCCCTCGATGTTCCCTTACTGGGGCATGATGCCCTCGAGGCTCCCTTACTGAGGCATGATGCCCTCGATGTTCCCTTACTGGGGCATGATGCCCTGGATGTTCCCTTACTGTGGCATGATGCCCTGGATGTTCCCTTACTGGGGCATGATGCCCTGGATGTTCCCTTACTGGGGCATGATGCCCTCGAGGCTCCCTTACTGAGGCATGATGCCCTCGATGTTCCCTTACTGGGGCATGATGCCCTGGATGTTCCCTTACTGTGGCATGATGCCCTCGATGTTCCCTTACTGGGGCATGATGCCCTGGATGTTCCCTTACTGGGGCATGATGCCCTCGAGGCTCCCTTACTGAGGCATGATGCCCTCGATGTTCCCTTACTGGGGCATGATGCCCTCGAGGCTCCCTTACTGGGGCATGATGCCCTCGAGGTTCCCTATTCTCTCACTCAAACACACAATGTGACTTTTTCTCACATTGCAGATTGAAGGACACGAAAGCCTAGTTTGGCTCCTGCTCTCTCTCTCTCTCTCTCTCTCTCTCTCTCTCTCTCTCTCTCTCTCTCTCTCTCTCTCTCTCTCTCTCTCTCTCTCTCTCTCTCTCTCTCTCTCTCTCTCTCTCTCTCTCTCTCTCTCTCTCTCTCTCGCTCTCTCTCTCTCTCTCTCTCTCTCTCTCTGTCTCTCTCTGTCTGTCTCTCTCTGTCTCTCTCTGTCTCTCTCTCTCTCTCTCTCTCTCTCTCTCTCTCTCTCTCTCTCTCTCTCTCTCTCTCTCTCTCTCTCTCTCTCTCTCTCTCTCTCTCTCTCTGAGATGAAGTTCGGCCAGTTCCGGATGTCCCCCCCAAGAGCCGGGCCCTTGAGCTACGTCCTGCTTTCTCTCAGATCAACTTCACGGACGTTCCGGATGTCTTCGACGGTCGTTCTCGGCAAACAATTCAGAATTCCGGATTCGAATCCCGCGCGGGACAGAAATGGTTGGCCGCGTTTCCTGTCATCTAATAGATCTGTTCATAAAGCAGTAATTAGGTACACAGGGTGAGTACTGACCCATCAGAAGGTGCTGGGGGCCAGCACTGACCCATCAGAAGGTACTGGGGGCCAGCACTGACCCATCAGAAGACACTGGCGGCCAACACTGACCCATCAGAAGGTGCTGGGGGCCAGTACTGACCCATCAGAAGACACTGGCGGTCAACACTGACCCATCAGAAGACACTGGCGGCCAACACTGACCCATCAGAAGACACTGGCGGCCAACACTGACCCATCAGAAGACACTGGCGGCCAACACTGACCCATCAGAAGACACTGGCGGCCAACACTGACCCATCAGAAGACACTGGCGGCCAACACTGACCCATCAGAAGACACTGGCGGCCAACACTGACCCATCAGAAGACACTGGCGGCCAACACTGACCCATCAGAAGACACTGGCGGCCAACACTGACCCATCAGAAGACACTGGCGGCCAACACTGACCCATCAGAAGACACTGGCGGCCAACACTGACCCATCAGAAGACACTGGCGGCCAACACTGACCCATCAGAAGACACTGGCGGCCAGTACTGACCCATCAGAAGACACTGGCGGCCAACACTGACCCATCAGAAGACGCTGGAGGCCAACACTGACCCATCAGAAGACACTGGCGGCCATCACTGACCCATCAGAAGGTGCTGGGAGCAAGTACTGACCCATCGGAAGACACTGGCGGCCAACACTGACCCATCAGAAGACGCTGGCGGCCAACACTGACCCATCAGAAGACACTGGCGGCCAACACTGACCCATCAGAAGACACTGGCGGCCAACACTGACCCATCAGAAGGTGCTGGGAGCAAGTACTGACCCATCAGAAGACACTGGCGGCCAACACTGAAACATCAGAAGACACTGGCGGCCAACACTGACCCATCAGAAGACGCTGGCGGCCAACACTGACCCATCAGAAGACACTGGCGGCCAACACTGACCCATCAGAAGACACTGGCGGCCAACACTGACCCATCAGAAGGTGCTGGGAGCAAGTACTGACCCATCAGAAGACACTGGCGGCCAACACTGACCCATCAGAAGACACTGGCGGCCAACACTGACACATCAGAAGACACTGGCGGCCAACACCGACTAATCAGAACGACCAACGGCCTCAACTTCCGTCACGTGGGAACAAGTCCACTCAGATAACGCCGCGTCACGTCCTGACATGACTCCTACGATGGGACTTGCATTCTTAAAGATGTTTCTAAAATGTACTAAAATGTCTTAGAAATAGAAATACAGTACGATAAAAAAATATTAAGCAAAGGGATAACGATGCTAAATGAGTGGTTTATTACGCTCAACCACTTGGTCTGGATGCTGCTTAGCATTGTAAATGTCTGGCCACGACTGTGGTAGAAAATAATAATCTAGCCAGATCACACCCTCACACTAGCCCCGACCCTAGCCAGATCACACCCTCACACTAGCCCCGACCCTAGCCAGATCACACCCTCACACTAGCCCCGACCCTAGCCAGGCCACACCCTCACACTAGCCCCGACCCTAGCCAGGCCACACCCTCACACTAGCCCCCGACCCTAGCCAGGCCACACCCTCACACTAGCCCCGACCCTAGCCAGGCTACACCCTCACAAGCCGTGACTCTTCACTATATAACCAGTCAGCCCGCATCGCGCGCTTTACGACATTAGAACATTATTTCAGCTTCTCCAGAAAGTCGTTGATCTATCCATTGTCTCATTGCGTAATGGTCTGGCGTGTGAGAGGGGGGGGGTGGGGATAGCCTGTGGGAGGGGACGGTCATGGAAGAGGGAGCGGGGCGAGGGGATGGAAGGATTCAGGGAGGAAGGAGATAATCAGGGAGAGGATTTCTGAGGATTTTGAGGATTCTAAACAAGATTGGGGAGTCAGAAGAGAGGATTTTTTCTGAGGATTCTGGACAAGATTGGGGAGTCAGAAGAGAGAATAGAGGGGGGTGACTTCTTTAACAAGGACTCCGGATAAAGAGGAGATACTATTTCGCGTATTCGTGGAACACGTAAACAAACGTTTGTGCAGAGAACAACCCGTTCTCAGGCCATGCAAAACGTTCATCTAGGAGGCCTGGTCGACGACCGGGCCGCGGGGATGCGAAGCCCCGAAATCATCTCAAGGTTTGGAAATTTACGTGAATAACCTTACAACCACTCGCCTACCAACGCCAAGATTAGCTCAGCTACTTAGTGTCGCTAAAAATTCCCCTCTCGCAGACTGGCGAGTCATACAGATGAACGTGATCAGTCAATACAATGACGAACTTTGGGTGCATTATGAGGATATCCTCAAGAACACGAGAGGTAATAAAGTAGTAGCAAAGCTCCAGGTACCTCATGCCGACGGGTCTCATGGGTATAATGATTGGACACTCAATAATGCTTTGTCAGAGATCATGCCACAGTTCCTGTTCACAGAGTCTGCACCTGGAGTGCTCAGGATTGGCACTTTTGTCGCCTGTAGCCACCTGCCACAGGTAACTGTAGCCACCTGCCACAGGTAACTGTAGCCACCTGCCACAGGTAGCTGTAGCCACCTGCCACAGGTAACTGTAGCCACCTGCCACAGGTAACTGTGGCCACCTGCCACAGGTAACTGTAGCCACCTGCCACAGGTAACTGTAGCCACCTGCCACAGGTAACTGTAGCCACCTGCCACAGGTAACTGTAGCCACCTGCCACAGGTAACTGTGGCCACCTGCCACAGGTAACTGTAGCCACCTGCCACAGGTAACTGTAGCCACCTGCCACAGGTAACTGTAGCCACCTGCCACAGGTAACTGTAGCCACCTGCCACAGGTAACTGTGGCCACCTGCCACAGGTAACTGTAGCCACCTGCCACAGGTAACTGTAGCCACCTGCCACAGGTAACGGTAACCCAACCTGGTCCTGGCAACCACTGTGTTACACTGATAAACGTTTTGTGCTGCCCATATACAAATATTTCAGATCTGAATCAATAACCAAAATCCATTCGTGAGTTTTGTAAACTTGTCGTGAGTATATTGTAAAATAAACTGTATAATAATAATATGCAACACGTATAATATAAAAACTGTATAATTATAATATGCAATAATATGCATAAACTGTATAAGAATAATATGCAATACGTTTGTGATGTTCCTGCACCAACCCTTGCCTGACATGCTGTTTAACCATTGGTATAGAAATTTAGCCTTCACGCTTCCTGCCCTGCAGGAGGCAAGCTAGTTAGTTGACGTCTGGAAGACGTACACTGGTCTAGTCAGTCAGCTGAGACCCTCTGCTGGGGTAACATCTAACTGCAGACGAGGAGTCACAATAATATGGCTGAAATATGTTGACCAAACCACACACTAGAAAGTGAAGGGACGACGACCTTTTGGTCCGTCCTGGGGCCAGATTCACGAAAGCACTTACGAACGTGTACATCTTTCCTCAATCTTTGACAGCTTTGGTTAGATTTATTAAACAGTTTACATGCATGAAAACTTCCCATTCAACTGTTGTTATTGTTATAAACAGCCTCCTGGTGCTTCGGAGCTCATTAACTGGTTAATAATCGTAAACAAAGCCGGCAAAGACTAAGAAAAGATGTACAGGTTCGTAAGTGCTTGCGTAAGTGTTTTCGTGAATCTGGCCCCAGGACCATTCTCAAGTCGGTTGTGACTTGAAACAATCGACTTGAGAATGGTCCAGGACGGACCGAAACGTCGTCGTCCCTTCACCTTCTAGTGTGTGGTCTGGTCAACATCTAACTCTTTGCGACTCATCACGGCACTTTATTAAAAGTTGTAATGTTATATATTGTAACTTTTAGCATTTTACTTTCATACTTTGTTATTCTCAGTTTCCGGGTCATTGAGTTGAAATTAGTGTTCATGCTTGTATTTTATTTTGGTTTATAAATTACGTGTACAAAGTCAGTTGTATTACAGGTGTTAAAGGAACTCGGGCTCCCCATAGACGGTGCTACTTGGAACTTTTTGTTCCAGGTAGCGAATCTTAAACAACAACAAAGACACCTTTATTTTGTTTTACTAATTTTAATTTTTATTTTAACTTTGGCTTTGATTTTACTCCAGTATTTACTTGTCAATCCCCTGCGGCACTATTACTTGCAGGAGAACAAGTCCTTTTATTCCTAAACAATTATATATGTATAGTTTTTATGCAGATGACTTTATATATGTACATTAAACCCCTTTATATCATGTTCTTCAATCACAAGTGTATATTTATAGACAGGAGATAGCACATTCAGTCTCCAAGACAGGGGGTACAAAACAGGGTCCATGACAGGGCTCAAGACAGTACCCAAGACATTGCCCAAGACAAGGAGTACAAGACAGAGTCAACGCTTAAATCAAATCCGCTTCAAGTATATATATCTGCTTGAGACAGCGGTAGGTTTCCTTATACATCAAGGTCTTTCTTTATCTCTGGCAGGCGTCTGGCCTCTACTGAA